TAAAACTGACAAGGATCCAGAATTCTTGCAAAGTGCTTGTTACTTGTGCTCACTTTACTTAATTAAGATGTTTCAGTTGGTAGACCTTCAAATTACCCAGTTTTAACGACCAAAAATTAGGTAATTAAATAAACTGAATTAGAGTGACCAACAGCGTGCAGGATCACTGATTTCTTTTTTAAAAATAAAAAATGAAAGTGAGAGGCACAAAAACTAGATCAGGATCTGTGCTGAAGGAGGAGAATAAAAAGAGATGTGAGAAAGAACCGAGTGTGTAGATACAGTAAGGGAAACTGAACGTTTCAGAGGGAAGAAGACATAGACAGACAGAGGGAGATAAAAAAAGAGACATACTGAAAGTGAGACAAAAGGTTGAGGCGGAGAGAAACGCAGCAGAATGCTTGGGTGGAGAAGAGCTGGTGAGCACTATCTGATAGTGTTAATCTTATCCTCTGTTTTCAGTGCTGCCACGCACCAGCACTTTTAACTAGCCCTGATAATGGGAAGAACAGCATCAAACTCATTAATTGAATTAGCTCTCTCTTTATCTCTGTATCTGCCCGTGTGCGCTCGTCCCTAAAAACACTCCACCGACAACTATTCCTCAGCTAATTGACTCGGAGCATCCCTAGTGCAGCCCTGTTTCACCTTACTAATTTATTGGACCAGCTCCCAGCCTGGTTCACCTGTCACTGGCTACCATCTAATTTAATTTTACCCTTAGGTGATGGAAATTATTTTGTTTCTGAGTAAGATGATTAGAGAGGGAGGGTGATAACATGAAGCAGGCCAGGTCTCTATGCCTGACAGCTTGTGTGGGGTGTTTGAGAATTAAGCTAACTTAACTAGATCAGTTTGATTTGTTCAGTTTTGCCTGCTGTCAGTATCTTAACCACCTTTTCAAAACTAATTTGGTAAATATGCTCAGCCATGAGTTATTGTGTGTTTCACATGTACCTATCTAATCCACCAGACCAATTTGTCAGAGGATTTTTAAATGGTTTTAAGTGTTTCAGCAGGGTTAGATAATAATCCCTCAGAACCGGGTTGCAGGTTATATATTTATGTGCCATGGCTCATCTGTATTATAGCTTTTGTTAATCTGACTCTCCCTTTGCAGGAGCGGTTAAGTAAAGTAGGAACTGAAGGTACTTTCTTTGTGGTGCAGCCGATATCACAGCAATTATTCTCACTTTCGTTTATCTTCACTAAAGGTTAGCTCTGTCCAACAGCTCACTCTCTCCCAATGAGTGAACATTATATCAGATATAGACACAGACCAAGAGACATGGGTGAAGTTATTGGGTTCTTTCAGTTCTGTGTCTCCATCCTCTCCAGATTAATGATCACCTGGATGGCAACACAGGGAACCAGTTTCTTCCTGTTTCTTCTTATTTGTAGAGTATTACTATTATAGTAACTTTAGGTTTATTGGGTGAGATAACCTTTTGAGGATTACACTGACATGCATCTCTCTTACTGTTGGACATGTATAAGAGCAGGACAGATAGCAAAAGCCAGGGTTAACTATAGTACAAGCTCTTACTCTAGTCTCAACCACTAAAGCCCTGTCTTCTACTCGCCTTTTGCCCTGACTCTTCTTCCCATATCCTGTCCTTTTTCATTCACACTGATACAACGCCAGTTTTTTCTGATCTGCCTGGCTGGCCTGTGTAAACCACTGTTTCCCCTAAGCACATTTAATGCCAAGCTATCTTTCAATCCTTGTGCTCACCACAAAGACCTTTACACAACTTCCAACCTCCCGACAAACACACCTCCCCTGATTGACAATCTTGTTTGTTCTTCAGTTTAAATTTGAGCCTTTTCCCCTCATCTTTCCTTTTTGTCATTGGAACCAAAAAGGCCCATTTAGGCATCAAGAAGGAAACGCTTTTGAATGACAGCATATAATCATTACTGCAATTTTGCCCCGTTAATAAATGCTGTCCTGTCATTACAATGTCCACTGAAATTGCAAGCAGGTGCTTCCAAGAAAAGGTATGTTGATCTTAGTTCCTTGCACTAAAACATATTTTTCCATCAGTTCACTTGTACAGATATGTATATAAAGCAATTCTTTTTCAAAAAATTAAGAAAATGTAAATTGTATTATCAATAAAAAAACAAAAACAAAAAAACATTGGCTACCTTTGCATTGATGCCAAGATTGTAATGATCATTCCTTATGCAGACCCAAGAACTGGACACAGGACTAGTACTGTGTCTGACATTCATTTATTCACTACTCACTGTACAGCTGTGGAATGTATCTACAATAAGTACATTTATTCAAGTACTATATTAGCTACTATTATGAGGTACTTGAACTTTACTTGACCATTTTCTACTACTTTAAACTTTACTCGCTCCATTTCACAAGAGTATGATATTATATTTTTCCATCATTAAATTCTTCTGGCAGATTTTTCATGCAAAAACATATGATGGGCTTATAAGTTAGTTATTTTCACAAATGAGACTGCCCAAAAACTATATAAAATTGTAAAATGTGTTTCATTTTGAACAGGTGCAACATTTAAATGCTGTTCACTGCATCAGTAACAATCAAATAATATAACATATGTTCATAGTGAGTTTTTTGTGCTCTTATTCCCCCAGTTTTTAGAATAAAAAATGGTACTGGTAAATAGCTAGTGACCATTGATTGTACACTATTCCTTATGTTGCATATGATTTCAGTCCACTAGAAATGATAATGAATCTCACTAAACAGTCTGACAACACTAGGACATGGGGAATTATATTGCAGGCTGCTACATTGTGAATACTACATGTTTTGGGGCATACTGTAACTTGGGGGGGTGATAAAGCCTTTGTTGGCAATACGGCTATTAAAAAAAACCTCACTGACCTGTGTGGGCCTCAGCTGTACTTTGTCTTTAGTGTTATTTGTTACTTTATTATTGCAACCTTAATCCATTGGTTGTTTAAGGTCTACACTACATAGTGTCTAAATGTTATTCTAGTGGCTAAAAGTTATTCAGAATTGTTTGTATTCCATTTAATCTCCTGCAGTGTAATGTGCATTAATAATAATGTGCACTGGTTTTTAATTCAGCATGCAAGAAGCATGCCAGAGTGCAAGGTGTGTTGACATGTTATTTGGGCAGTGGCCATCCTGGCACGTCATTTGTGAGTACCCAGTCAGGTAGAGCGGAAAACTGTCTTCTCTGATAACCTCATCTCATCTGTAAATAGTCATCCTACTGATGCAGGTTTCATGGAATTAATGCTTCGTGTGCTGATGCATGTGGAAAGATGCCTCCTGTCAAATTGCTTTTCTTTATTTCCTCCTTCCTAACACTATCCCTACCCGAAAATCATATTAGCCAAATTAGTCTCATTTAGAACATGCCATTTGTTATTTTAGCCCCCTAGCTCATTGCCTATAGCATATGCTTGGGTTAAAAAAGTATGAGACAGATTTAAAACTGGGGAACACTGATATTTCAGATAGTATAGTCATCAGTATTACAACCACGGACAGCATACAGTCACTATAGATCTGGAATACTTCATTGTGTCAATCCATCAACTGACAGGAGAGTGTCAGTGTGTGCAGAGGCGTTCAACCCAGATGAGGATGACGAGGACACGGAGCCCAGAGTCGTACACCCAAAAACTGAGTGTATTCTGACACTCCTCAATTCATTGATTCATTAACTAATCATTCACTGAAATGCCAAATATACTGACAAAACACCATAGAAGCCAGAAAGATTTTTTGAAACTACACTCTGACCTGAGCCAAAAGACAAACTGAACAGAGAAAATCTTCTTGTATTAAGATGTCAAATCAAATCAAATCAAATTTTATTTGTATAGCACCAAATAACAACAGGTGTATTAGTTATTTTACTTTTAAAATGATGAAAACAATAAATTGATGAGCAAAACTGAGCATTTGATCAATACAGCACACAGAAAAATAAGCAGTTAGTCTATATTAGTTGATTATTGGTCTTGCTGTAGCCTGCTGTCAGTGCCAAATCTGCTTGTGAGTCTATGGTGTATTACTGTGCCATGCATAAGGTGACGAGTGGGAAACAGGAGGGCAGACAGCAATGAGACGTTTCCTCCTAGTTAGTGTCTGAGTCTTTCACATCAGCTGCCTTTATCTTTGCTTGTCGGGAGCAGCAACTAACACGAGGTCAGTTATTACTGCCTCAGTTGCCTGGAAGGATCAAAGACGACTGGTTGAACACAGAAGATGTAATGATGTACTCATCTGTAAGGACTGCTACATGGTTTGTCATGTCATTATCCCTCCCATTAATGCTCAGGGTTTTTTTTTCCTTCATCTTTTATAAATTGTTTGCGGTTTCTGAACGAACACAGTTTCTTATTATTTGGTTGTAGAGAAAAAAATTACCCAGTATTTATTTTCTTTTTTCTTTTTTTACAGAATAAAAATGTTTCTTTCTCCTCACCTTTTTGTACCTGTTTTTTCTTGCCATCTTCCTTCTTCTTTTCCCACATAAAATTGACCATTTGTGCCAGTGGTTTGAACAAGAGCAATTTGTCATGTTGGAAAAGGAAGCACTGAAAGCTGCTCGTGTATTTCATGGTAATTTCAGATAGAAGAGAGCGACGGTGTGTCAGTATACTGGTGGAAGAGAAGGTCATGGGTTTTCAGCATCTGTCTGGCCTCCCACACACCAAGACCATGAGTAATAAAAGTAAAAGAGGGACAAGACAGGTGGTGGCATGGAGGTTGCAGAGACTGGAGTCTTTTTAAAACCCCAGGTGTGAGGAAAACTGACCAAAAATGGTCTGAAGTGCAGTTTGCTGCTTATTTATTGCTCTTAATATTATGGATGTACAACAAGACCTGTCATGTGAGGGTATAGCCTTTAGTCAAGGAACAGCCTTACTCCTTACTTGTGATTATTTCATGAGTGTCTGAAGCGCTTTTTGACCTCTGTGAGACACCTGAAGCACAATCTCATTTCATTCTCTTCTTCTGGAATGCCTGCATGTGTCAGAGAAAGTGAGAATAAAAGAGGCTGTGTGTATTTCTGAAACTGAAAAGAAATCTGCAAGCTGTTCTGGTACCTTGTAATTGAATGTCTTTCTTTTGACCTGAGCTGGTGTATATGTTTCAGGGTCAAGCTGAAGGATGGCGTGGTGTTCCTGGGAGCTAGAGCCAGTAACCCTGTTGTGTGGACGGTGAGCCAGGATGTCAGAAGTGAAGGTCACAGGATTGTCACCCTCCACTGTCGGAGGAAGGAAAATACTTTTAGTCAAAGGTACGTCTGACTTCCTCTTTCTAGAGTATGAATCAATGCTTGAATGAAATATGAGCTGAACAACAAGAAATGAGCAGTTCATTTTGCTGTCAGCGGAGAGCGACTGCAAAGAGTGAGAATGAAAGAACATCACTCAGCGTCTGAATCATCCGTGTCTTGGTATTGTCATGTATGCAGATCCTCAGCAAGTTTTAAGTGTAATGAGTAAATGTAGTGTTCAAGGAAACAGTGTTGCATTTCTCTTTGCACTTGAAGCATGTCTTGTAATAATGATTTTAATAATAATACTGTCTACAAATCACATGAAAAGACCAAAATGTGACATAGTAAAACTCATCACTGAGTCATACTGTTGCGCTGGGTGACCTGTACCTTCATTAAGATGAAGATGACTTACATACAATAGCAGACAGTCAACTCGCCAGCTAAACATTTTAGGCAAAAAGTAGCTGCACACAGGAAGTGATACACCCTGGCTGCACTGTCATTTCTTCCTGGGTGCCAAGGTGATGGCCACAATGAATGACAAGTCATCTATCATTTACATGCACCTCGTTCACAGCCCCGCTGAGGAGGAGAGACTTTGAATTATACAGGACTGCTCAAACCAAGGTCATACATGTTGCGTCTGGCATTATGCCCCGCAATTCTGAGTGTGATAAAAGGCTACCTTGAAGAACTGAAATTATAATGCATCACCTGCTGATACCCTGTGCTTTTAGGTTTCTTTAGCTTACATGGAATAACTGTAGCACAGTAGCAAACAGGAAGTATCATTCAAAGCTTTTGTAATATGTGAAGATTATTACAATACTGAATTTTAATTACCATTACTGAGAGAGCAGTTGTGGTCTCTACTGGTCATTTTTAAAATTAAAATGGTAATAACATGCTCATACAGTAGTACATGAAAACAAAGAAATGTTCCTTCTGCAGTGTAAGACTGGATTTACAGAGCTATTTTTACTTCACACTGGAACAAAATGAGCTCTTTGACTCTTACTTACACAGTAGAATTGTTTTAGAATTATTTTTACTGCTGAAGTAGAAATGACAATATGTGTGGTGGCTGTGAGGCTACAGCAGAGGCAGAGCTGTTGAATTACTAAAGGCCTTAAAATAATCTCTTATTTTAATCTTTTATCTAGTTAGTACTTGGAGTGATTCTGTTTTTGGCATGACTATAGAGTACCCCACTCAATATGTAGGTGTAACATGATAATATTGCAGTATTTTATTTGGGGTAGAGAAAGTGGCTCTTTGGCTGTGAAGCATCATGAAATGTTCTGTCCTTCTGTAGCAACTCTAGCTCCATCCTTGGGCACCAGTTTCTTTATGCAAACCATAGAAACCACACTAATATTTTGAAAAGTGCTGATGATGCTACCATATTTACAGAAGTCTACATGAACACAAATTACATCTATAGCTGTCTGGGTATCAACACACTATTTATGAATTACTCTTAAAAAAAACTGTTTGCCTTGTACCAATACTGGGTGTATCTTTCTTGAGTGAAGGCAGTATTTAAACTCAAAGGGTCTCTAAATGTTTTTGATTTTGTAGCATCATGGTTCAGTGTGGTTAAGTGTAATGGAAGTGTTTCTAAAAAAAATGTCTTTTTTTTTTTATCAGTCACAGTATGGTGAGCACATATTATCTGATGGCATCTGTATGCAGATGGCAGAGATTCCAGAGTGGGTACTGTGTGATAAGGAAATCCTAGTGAGCTGGACCTGATCCTACTCCACCTGCACTGAAAATGTCTCATTAACTGCCCATAGAGTTACATGTACACATTTACCCGTTAGTGTATATACGTACATACAGTACATACGTTAATATTTTACAAGACATGCAAATTGATACAAATATATAACTGACAGCATGTTTTGTGCACTAAGCTCCACACACCACAGCCCCTCCTCAAGAGATGGTGTCGTCTCTAATAAATTGAACACAATTTTATAAGATAAAACAAAACAATGTGTAATCAGGTAGTTTTATTGCCCCCTTATCACAGGTCCAAGTTGAAGAGATCCAGCTACAGATAGATTACTATGTATGTGGTGTTGTAAGTCTCCAGGCTGTAATAAAGCTGACAATGGTCAACAGGCAATGCTGCCTGCTTTGTTGAGGAGATGTACTAGGATGCTTAAATGCTAAGAGTCGTCCTTCACCAGCAGTTTGTTGAATCTCTGTCCTCACTGCTCTTTGTTACCATGGAAGGAGAGACAGTTTTCTTGCCATCCAACTAAGTCATATTCTTTTTACTGCAAGTACTATTGAACTTGCTGATATCTCAGGTGATATAGCAGCTGAATCTCATCAGCTGATAGCTTAATTTAGCATGGGAATACACACACCCACACTTAGGAATCATGTACACATTCAATACGTCTGTGCATATTGGTGTAACTGCACTAAGTGGACCCACATGTAAATGGACAATGCAGTGACAGCCCTATAGGATCGCACTGTAAAATCAAAAAGGAAGTCATCAGCTATGCATGTCAAGTACTCAGGATGCATCTGGCTCCTTTATTTCTTTTTAATGAAAGCTAATATCATTTGGAGCTCCTGTTTGTCTGAGGGGGAAGAGTTGAGAAAAGGTAACAAATGAAGGTTTTGTTATTGCACTAGCAGTTCTGTGGCCCAGTACTTGGAGTGTCAATTGGTAGCTTGTCCAAGCTGCAATGGGAGTTCGATTTGTAATTGTAGGAAGTGATCCATGGCATCTAACAACTAATTAAACTAAACCGAATCTAATGGCCAACATTTCTCAGTCTGCTCGCTCCCTGAAATTAACACATGCACAGAGAGGCGTGCTGACTACAACACCAGTAAAGCACTAACCATTTTCAGATATGGAATCTACCATTTGTCGCTTCATCTGTCTGTTTTTGGGCTGAGACTTTATTCAGACATAACAGGATCATTATGGCTAGAGCAATGCTTGCACAATATGTGACATCTGGTACCTGGAAGGGAGTAGTGCCACCACAGAAGAACAGCAATAAGTAGAGAAATATGAAGAATATGAAGACAGACAAGCACTTTCCCTTTTTCTTACAGGCTACATCAGTGTTGGATTTCAAATTTTTATACTGGAGCCTGGTGGTTATTTCCATCATTGTCTAATATGCTGATTATTTCCTCAAATAACTGATTTTTCAATAAAGTATAAGGGAATAGTAAAAATTGCTATTTTAATTTCCAAAACCCCAAAGTGGGACCTTCAAATGCGCTTTTTTTTTTAAATTCACCGTATGTTAATCTTTGAAGAGAAGGCAAATATATTTGGTTTACAGTTGAATGAGACAAAATTTAAGCAGAAAATCCACTTTTCAAATGTTTTTTAAATTCTTTTAAAATGACTGAAATAAGTTTTTTTTCTCAGTTAACTAATTTATAAATTGATTATGCATTTCATCTCTAATATGAAGACTTACAGTATAAGCAAAGGAATTTTTACCCATGATTCTCTGCAGTGAAATCCCTACTTTTCCAGTCTATTTCATTGCTTATTAGATATGTAGCAGGGTTTTGTATTATGAAAGCATCCAAGCATACAAAATTATGAAACATTGGGTCACGACCCTCATCTATATCCTCCTTTTGTGTGCTGTATTTTCACTCTCACATTGTGAGCTGCTGAGGGACTGATGGTGTGATGGTGGTCTCACACCACAAGGTTTTATTAAAATGATTTTCTTTAACTGACAAATGCATGAAGGCAAAACAAGACACATGCAGTATCTCTCTTTGTTTATTTAGCGTTGTGCTACTGCAGTCTTTCCATTAATGTGACAGCATTCAATTCACACTTGTAAGTGTAATGGAAGTGTTTCTAGATGCAATCTATTTCGATTATTTTTGTGACTTTTACAGAAGTGTCTCATGCTTATTCAGACATGACTCAATAAAAATCGCCATCAAGTTTATATAATTATGTGCACATCTGAAAATGGCCATAAACTGTAGACCTGTAGTGTGCATACCGATAAGCATGTGTGCTGTCTGAGACACACACACACACACACACACAAACAAGTGAACAAACAGGACTCTGCAACATCTTTTCACCAAGTCTACGGGATCATGAAACATACTACCACATTGAAACTTCCTGCTGTTGATAGAGAGGACTCCCACAGTGAGCAGGAGGTTTACTCCAAACAACTGACAAGACAGCCTTACAACACCCACACAATGCTGCAAGCCTGTAAAACAAAGTTCTAAGGGGATGCCATCTAAAAACAACACTCCATTCTTAAATCTGAGTGACAATGCAACAAGACAGAGTAATTAAACCAACAATATATGTTTTACAGTGCATGTTTATATCCTTCCTTACTGCAGCTTCATGTTAGGCTTAGGGTTTGAAAAAAAAAACAACTAACTGCAGAGCAGTTGCATGAAGACAGAGTTTTCTGCTCAGTACACAAGCTGTGGCGTGAAAATAGGTTAAAGATTCAAATTGTTTTCCATCAGTTGGCGAAAGCACGTTTTAAGCATCAGTGAAATTGAGGCTTGTCATTCTGTGTTTGTCTCAGCCATCTGCTGAGGGAGGTGACATGAGCCTCTGAGGGTCTTTCTGTCAAACAAAGGAAGCAAGCATCAATGAGGGGAATAGAAACCCCGGGCTTGTTTTAGACTGAAATGATTAGCATACTCTGCAGTGTGCCTGGGACAGAAGAAACACACAATTCCCATACAAGTGGTCCATAAAGGTTCTAGTTAGATAAGATTTCCTCTGCTAAGCATTGTTACGTCTCAAGCAGATTTCCTTCCGATACACTTTATATCCTTTTTCATTGCTATGTGAGATTACTTGCTGACATGTATAGATTGTTTTGTTCCTTAGTGCTGGGGGATAATTCAAGATTATGGTATGTTTGTCATCTGAAACATACTATA